ATTAAAATAATGTATTTAAAAATCTATTTTATAATCTTGATTAGTTATATATTTTTTCCCAATCACAGAAAACCACAATTATCGACAGTTATTTTAGTAATTAAAAAATAATTTATTACAATTTGTATTATAATCTTTTGATCTTGATTATGTATTTGCTCTGAAATGATTTTTTTCCCCAATTACAGAAACCATCATTTCTACCCAACAGTCGTGTTGTTTAATATAGAAGCAAAATACACTAAAACACAGGGGGAACTGAGCCGATTAGAAACCAACATAAAACTCTGACCTGGCGAAACCGTATTGTAACATGGGCAAAAACAACACTTTTCGCCTCTAATTCTGAGTATCCGGTTTATCTGTGGCCTCTTACAAAACGTGATTGTGCTCTTTCAGCATGTTTGGAGCAGTTGTGCAAAAGCTTGTGTAGTGATGCAAGACCCGTATGAACACAACGAGTGACTCAATAGCGTTCGGCACTGAAAGGTGCCATTTCCCCAATCTCACTTCTTCATGCGCTTCCGCCCGCGTTGTCAAACTCTGCCACTTTCCCAGGCTGCTCTGCCCGTGCGCTCAGATTTACCCTCAGATGCCCATGTGGACCTGACATGAAGCTAACCCTAAATGATGTGTAGATATCACAAGCCTGGGATGCTTTTGCCATTGCTTGATATTCCTCAAACATTCTTGTTTGGGTTTGTTTAAAGCCTTTTTTTTTTTGTTGCATACAAAAATGCAATAATTTTTGTTCTTTCTTTATCTTTTTAGCCATCTTTGCACTGTAAATATGCATTGTGCATTGGAAAAGTATAATTTACTCAAAGGCTAAACAAAATATTGCTTTGCATTCTTTGAATGGGTTGTTATTTATTTCCATTGTGTTGTAGGCCTTTCGCAGGTTTGGCTAAATTCATTCACCCACAATGCATTGCATGTATGACAGTGACGGTGTGTGTTTTGACAGGTGCGTTACCTGAAGATCATCGAGAAGAGCGGCTATCAGGCCCTGCCGTGGGTGCGATACATCACCCAGAACGGAGGTAAAACACTCTCTCATCCTCTCTTCTCTCTTTCTCTATTTTTGTCATATTTTTTTTCACAGCGTTGCTTAATTGTTGCCAAATACCTGCAATGCAGTGCAGAATGATGGGAGATTAGAGTTAAATGCGGAGGTGAAATTGTTCTGTGAAAAGAGGATGTTCTGGACAGACGTGTGCGAGATGGTGAAACCCCGATAAAATTAGAGTGTGTGGTACATGATGTTGTAGGAGATTTTCTTTCTCTGAATTCGCATCTTGAACTTTGACACTGCGTGTCACGTTACAACCGAGAGCAAAGCCTAAATATGTTTCACATATATTTTAGTAGTCAGAGTTGAATTTTTTAAATTGTATATTAAAGAACCCTTTTTGTTTTTAGTTTTTTATGTAGGTATTTCTCCACCAATTCCACCTATATATAATATTTTGTTGTTGCCATTTTCTTTTTCTGTATTTGATGAGAAAGTATTTTTTACAATCACCAAGAACCATGATTTTTAACCCAGCAGTCATTGTAGCTAATTAAATAATAAAGATAACAAATTGCAAAATAAAAAATATATAATAGAAGTTAATATAAATATATATAATATAAAAAGTATTTTTAATCATTATTAATATATATATATATAAACATTTGGTGTTTTTTTTTTACATCTAGATATTTTGCCAAATAAAAAATATAAAATATAAAACAAGTTAATATAAATATATATAATATAAAAAGTATTTTTAATCATTATTAATATATATATATATAAACATTTGGTGTTTTTTTTTTACATCTAGATATTTTGCCAAATAAAAAATATAAAATATAAAACAAGTTAATATAAATATTTTTTATAGAAAATGTATTTTTTATCATATATATAAATATATATACTTTTTTGGGGGTGTTTTTTTTACATTCTAGATATTTTTTTCACTTCAGTCTATCAATCAGTCAATCTATATTTCAATCTTTAATAATTTTTTGCATTTGCAATAAAAGTATTTTTTCCAATCACGAGGACCATAATTTTAACCCAGCAGTCATTGTAAATAATAAAGATAAATTATAACAATAATTACAAATAAAAAGTTAAATCTTTCTATCATTTGTATTTGCTCTGAAAGGTTTTTGTCTGTAGCTAATTAAATATTAAAAATAATAAATTACAAAATAAAAAGTTAAAATAGTTAAAATTATGAAGGCATGTTTTAATTTTTTATCTAAATAAACACAATAATAAAGACATCGTCATTTATATAAATAATATTTGTTTTTGTGCTATGTTTACAGAAATGTTGTATTTGTATTTTTGACATTTTTTTTAAAGTGGTTTCATTAAAATGGCCAGTTTGAAGTGGTTCACAGAAGTGAAATGAACAGTTTTTACTACTGCTGTTTAAATCAGAAACACTATTAAACCCGCTTTGTCTTGATGCTCTCTAATCTAATGACATGAAATTAAAAGCCATGCACCAAGTGCTCATATTGCAAAATTGTTGCTAAATTTTCTACACCCGTGTAAACTCCGGTTAGCGGTCTTCCTCTAAGAGTGCTGCGTGTTTTATCACGACTGCATCCAGCATCTGTTTTATACCCATCATTTATGTTAATTTTGTGAACTTATGTCTCAATCTTATTGACTGATGGAGTTTTTGATTGTGTTTTGATGGGTGGAGAGAGAAAGTTCAGCTGTCACAATTAACGTTCCCCCCGTATTTCCATTTTTTCCTGTTTCCTGTCGTTCTGTGCATTTAATTAAGCCTCGCTCATTTCCTTCTTTCTTTGCAGACTATCAGCTGCGGACTCAGTAAACATGAAGAATTAGCCTAGAGGATCATGGGTCAAGGAAGCGTCTCTGTCTGGCTCTCTTTCTGCTGTATGTAGAGCCTCCACACTCATCTGCAGTATTCACAACACACTAGTGCTTCCAATCATTTCAAACAAATACACGTCAGATCTTAAGACTCATGGATTGGAATTGAATCTTTCACACAGTGTTATTTGGATTTTGTCCAAACCTTCCTATATTGAATCTTACGAAACTCTCCAGAACATGTGAATCATATAAATCTTTACTTGGAAGAATCATATGAATCTTTACTTGTTATTAGAATCATATGAATCTTTACTTGGAAGAATCATATGAATCTTTACTTATTAGAATCATATGAATCTTTACTTAGAAGAATAATATTAATATTTACTTGTTATTAGAATCATATGAATATTTACTTAGAAGAAACATATGAATATTTACTTAGAAGAATCATATGAATCTTTACTTGGAAGAATCATATGAATCTTTACTTATTAGAATCATATGAATCTTTACTTTTCTATCATTAAGATTCTTATATTGTCATAACGAATCACATTCCCTTCAAATTCTCATTTCTTTCTTTTGATTTTGTGTTGAAATATGAGCCTGAGGTCCTTGAGAGGATTTGAAGGATTCATACATGCATACTTGCTGATTCACTTGAACTGAATCATTTCTTGGCCATTCCACAAGCTTTAATTCACATACTGCAGATGTGTGTGTGTTCAGTGTGTGTGTGTTTGACAGTAAACAGGAATCATGTTTCTTTACGTTTCATGAAAGCGCCGCGCAGTCCTTATCCAATGATACCACGTCACATCTCAACGGAGGAAGTGTTCATACATGTCACATTTCAGATGTTTTCATACTGTAAACAATGTTTAGAATGGAGAGCCGTTCGTTTGCGGTTATTTATCAGATTAATTCAACAACAGTCGTATGGTCACAGCGATAGTGTGTTGCATATTACAGTGTTTGTTTGTTACGTTAATTCAAAAGTCAAAAAATGTCAGATGAATCGACTCTTATTGAAGCGTTTGTATTTCTAGGTCCTCATTTCGTTCAGGATTTCATGTCAGGGACGTCCTCAGATATTGTTTTATTAATATTCAGTATTTTTTTGACGTCATTCCTGCACACTGACTCTTTAGTTTTTTTTTTATTTGAGTTTATTTATAGTATGTTGTAATTCAGTGTTCACAGTACCTCATGAGTTTACTACACTGCTAAAATGCAAAATTACACTCGATTTAAACTGTTCAACACACAACTGAAATCTAAAGTCAACCGTGGTGCCATTTTCAAAATGGGAGATGAAATAGAAAATGTTTGTTTGTTTTTTGTATCAATTTGTCGATTTGTCTCATTTCATTTGCCTTCAAGTGATAGAATGTAAAGGTTACCATGTTTACTATGGTACAGCATGCAGTGGAGCTGAAATGTGACATAATTGCATTCCTCTTGAAATGTTCCTGTATCTCACTTAAATAATTGACGTCTCTGTACACGTCAGACATCAATAAAGTACCTGTTTAGAAAATACCTTGTCTGATCCATCTCATAATTACTATTTGAAAATGGCCAAATATTTATATATATACACATAAATACATATATATAATATACACAGTGGGTACGGAAAGTATTCAGACCCCCTTACATTTTTCACTCTTTGTTATATTGCAGCCATTTCATTACACCAAATACACAAAATAATGTTCTTTTTAGCAACATCATATGACCCCTTTAAACATATAATGTTCAAAAGTTTGAAATTAATACTTTTATTCAGCAAAGATTCATTAAATTGATCAAAAGTGACAGTAAAGACATTTAATGTTACTAAGTTTAAAATTTTCATCTAATGAGGTTTAAAAAAAATCTAATAAATGCTGTTCTTTTGAACTTTCTATTCATCAAAGAATCCTGAAAATTAAAATGTATCTCAGTTTCCACAAAAATGTTGTGCAGCACAACTGTTCTCAACATTGATAATAATCAGAAATGTTTCTTGAGCATCAAATCAGCATATTATACTGATTTCTGAAGATCATGTGACACTGAAGACTGGAGTAATGATGCTGAAAATTCAGCTGCGCATCATAGAAATAAATTACATTTTACTATATATTCACATAGAAAACAGTTATTTAAAACTGTAATAATATTCCACTATTTTTACTGTATTTTTGATCAAATAAATGCAGCTTTGGGGAGCAGAAAAACTTTAAAAAGCTTACCGACTTTAAACGTTTGAATTTTATTTCGCATAAAATGTAAGTTAAAATCAAATTTAGCATATTTTAATGAATGTGTTTGATATCCTGATAAACTATAGGGATGTTTACAGTTGGTATAAATGTTTTACAATGATTTTCAAATATCATTTCCACCTTTTATTTAAAAAAGCATTTGTTATGGTTACTGTTTGGTGTTCTGGACAGATAAACACACGCTTGTCCTCTGGTTCATCAGGTTTGTGTGGGAGTCGAAAGGACAAAAGCTTTTGAAAGCAAACAGGTAATACACACTTCACTTCTAGAGCTTCCATTCATAGCGATGAGCGATCACATACCTCAGAGCAGGTTCTCACAGCATACGCACACACAAAACCACAAGAATGCCAAACCGTCCTCAATGACGACTCAATCACTGACCAGAACCGTTCCTGGCACAGAATGTGGGATTTCTGCAAAGAAAAGAGAAAGAAAGAGACCATGGTGACTCTATATCCATATGACATATACAGAGATCCAAAAGTCTGAGACCACTTTTTGTATTTAAAACATGGGACAAAATAAAGCAGAAATATTTTTTTGTGACTAATCAAATTACTTTCTGTACAGATGGTCAGATGTCATGTCTATATATTCATACAATTTATATTATAAATACATTTATTTAATATAGAAACAAGACAACAAGACATTTTTCTGAAATATATACATGCATGTGTGTGTATTTATAATAAATATGCATAGCACACATACATATTGTCACGTTTGTTTCTGTTTAGTTCCTGTTTTGCCCCTATTTGGTTCCGTTCCTGTTCTCATTTAGTTTATCATCGTTTATTCTGTTCACCTTTGATTGATTACTCCTCACCTGTTTCTGTTCTCCCTGATTATGTTCCATGTGTTCATATACCCTGTGCTTTCCTCAGTTCCCTTGTCTTGCTTTAAAGTCACGTTGTGGTGCATATCTCCTCTGTTATTCTGTATTACCCTCTTGGATTGATAATTAAAGACTCCCCTTCGCCTCATCTACCCACATCGTGACACATATTATATGTAAACAATGCGATTAATCCCGATTAATCGTTTGACAGCACGCATTTTTTTTGTTTTCTTTTAAATGCTCAATTTAATGTTTAATAATTATGCTTTTTGTTTTGTTTTGTGTTGTAGCAAATAGAAAAATGTGAATGTATTTGTTCAATAATTATTTTTGTTATATAAATATCTTTTATATAATATTGTTTTGGAAAAAAAAAATATGTATATCTTACCAAATTTTTTTTTTTTTAGGCCTAAATCTAATTAATAATAAATAACAATGCTTTTATAAATCATAAACCTCAGACAAGTTTAACTGATGCTTAAAATATACAGTTTTAAAAATGTAAAAGTAAACAAAACTTGGGGAAGATGTACAGTATATTAAAAAAAATACATAATACATTAAAATAAATCCAACTTTTTGTTAGTATAATTTGTATTGAAAACATTGTATTGCATTACAAATGCAAAAGAGAAATATTTTCACGTGGTCTCAGACTTTTGGGCCCCTCGCTCTCAGATTCACATCTGTTATGGTGCTTAGTTTCCAAAACAGGTGCATTGAGTCTAAAAGTGCTATTGCACGACTCTCTTGCAGTTTAATTTCGTGAAAGGTAAACAGGGCAGTGGGGTTGAATATGATAAACCCACGGGGCAATAAAGCGTCCTGTGAATGAGTTTTACTGACTGTAATTTCGTCCTATGATGAAACTGGAGCAGATTAGTGTGGTTTGAGCAGGTCAGACAGCGTGGCGTTTCACCGGGTCACACGGAACCCGTGTTTTGTTTCAACATGGAATCCTGTCGCCTAGCAACCCGGTTCGAGCGGGGGAAGCCCTGGTTGCGTGACATCAAACGCCAGCTATTCTCTCGTGGAGATAAACGCAAGGAATTCTTTTAGCTGCCATTGCAAAAGATAAGCAGTTCATGAGTCAGTGCAGAAACAGGCTGAAGGAGCACCGGAAGAAAGCCATCTTTACTTAAAAGTGTGTGTGTGTGTGAATGGTGCAAGACACAATCAAGCAAGCGAACGTACCCTCTAATTTACAATACATGTGAGGATTTCACGTGAGGCCACAGGGAAACAATGAAAACTCGCCGAGATGAGCTTTAATTAGTGGCCTGAAACAAGCCGTAAATTAACGTGTTGCAGGTGGTAAGGCTGATGTGACAGGCTGCATCACAACAAACCTTTAAAGAAAAATCCTCTCGGTAGCACAAACCGGTTCCTACAGTTGTGCATTGATTTATTAGCAAGCAACATTTCAGCAACTTGATCATCGTCACATCTAGATTTTTACCCGTTACCCAAATTTTGCATGGCTTACATGTAAATTACTTTATTGGAAATCTGTCAGGTGCAATGAGAGTGTTTAGATGAAGAGCAAAACCTAAAATCAGATCATTACAAAAATCCGGCAATGAGAGAATGCGATTTTAAAATGAGCGACTTTCCCTCCCAGAGTTATTAGAGTTGACGAAAACTAATGCCAAAACCATAAAACATTTTTGTTACTTGAAAAAAAAAATCTTTTACTGAAATAAAAAATAGACTTATTTCAGCTAACTGTCAAGGCAACATTTCTTATTTTAATTCAGTTTAACGATGTAAAACGGAAATAAAAAATAATAAATAATGACACTTAAAATTAAATGACAGAAACAACAAAATGAAAAACGTTAAAAAATTAAATTACAGAAAATATAAAAATAAAAACTAATTCAAAATATTAATAACAACTATAATAGTATCTCAACTAGATAAAAAAGTTTGTCGAGACAAACTTTGAAGTTGGCTTGAGAAAGCCAGACCAGAAAGTTTGAAAAGTTTAAAAAAGTTTGAAAAGTTTGACGGTTTTCAGTTTAAAATAGTTTACTAATTCAAAATATTAATAACAACAATAATAGTATCTCAATGATACAAAATAACCCTGTTTTCCCCATCTTGATGCTCAAATCTGACATGACACATTTATTAAACACAAACAAACAAAAAAGTTGAATTGCTTTTATTGCAATCACTATCTAAAATGGTTTAATTAACTATTTCGAGTTTAATTAGGCCTAATGGCTTCTTGCATTGTAGATTTTATAGTTAAGTGATTTTTGATGATCAGATTGCATCGTATTTTCACAGCTGGGAATGTTCCGGAAAGGTTCTCCAGTTCATGGTAAAGAAACAAATAACGTTCTTCCAGTAACGTTAATAGAATGTTATTATGTTTTTAATAATGTTCTCAAAATGTTAGCACAAAAATGTTATTTATACATCATTTCTGAAATGTTTCAGTTCGTCTAACATTTTTTAAATGTTACTACTCATTTTAGAACGTTCAGAGAACATTCAATGTAACATTCCCATAATGTCTGCAAAATGATGCAATGGAATGTTCCTGTAATGTTTGTCAAACCAAGATTTATTAAAAACAAAAAAAAACTGGACGTTTGGAATGTTCAGAGAACATCAGGAACGTTTTCATAACGTAATTCGAATGTTAGCTAAATGTATTTTTGTTAGCTAAGTTTTGGCCTGACATAAGTAGATATTTAATACCGATAGCTGCAATAGTAATATTTCCAAAATATTTAGTCCAGCTGGCACACGATTCATCTCTTTCAAGTAACCGTGGCTTTTTCCATGAATTTTCTCAGCACTATCATTTGACAGGTCAAATGGCATTTCGCAAGTTTACGATGACAAATACCAGGTGTAATGTTAGTGTGTGAAAGTACGCATGTCAGGTAGACGTTTGGCCCAGTGTAGCCATATTTACCTCCTCCAGAATGTGTGTGTGTGTGTGTTTGGAAACACAGTTGCTGTGGTGATAAAGTCATTTAAAGCAGCTCAAAGTCTGGAGGTGAAGAAAGATGACGTGTGGAGGAGGACGGCTGATGCAGCAGCTCTTGCACGAGATCAAGCTTTTGATGAAATCTTACGAAATGACTTCCGGCGGTTAAACTCATCAACCTCACCTGAAATGAAAAGAAAATATACTCTATTGCGTATGCAAACAGCTCAAATATCATGGTCTACCACACCTCTTTTATATAATAGCGGATTAATCGAGAAAATTCACCGTCATAGTCACCAAATTCAACATCATTATATTACTAGCATCATATACTACAATAAACCTGTTAGAACAAGTCCAGATCATATCTTACTCAAAAATAAATGTTTTAAATGTTATGACATTGTTGTCATGACAATTAAGCACACCCACCTCCTACTTTTCATTATATATTTCAGATTTTTTTTTCAAG